GTTATCCACATATTCGCGATCAGTCACAGAAGACTTCCTCCGGAGAGAATGGTATCTAATGGACAGTTGCATCCTCTTTATAGTGCTCAATTGTTTTTCCATGGAGAGCTGATACATTCCCATCCTGCGGAAGCCGGAAAAGTCTCTGAAAGATATAGATTTTTGATTTTGTACAACAGAAGCCCCGGCATGACACAAATACATGCACTTTGGAAACAATTCTTCCCTAAGTTTTTCCGTTTAGGACTCCAAGCCTATCTGGCGGCGAAGCCTGCAGCTACGCTTTTTATTTTATTTTTTTAGATTTTTTTTTTTGCTTTTTCTATGTTTCTGCTAGAATTATTTTGTTATTATCAATAACTTAAACATTATTATCATCATTATCATTGCTAAATTCTTGAACCTTTAAGACTTATAAACATTTTACTTTTCTACAGCATTGGAAGATATTTAAACACAATTGATTAGAAATTAAATAGAAAACATTGTCACAAAGCTAAATTCGCACAACTCCCCGACTAGAAATCAAATGTTGGCAGCGAAGGATCAAAAGTCTTTGGTCTTACATCTAAGGTTCAATTTCCAGAGGTTTTTTTTTATTTTTTTGTCACGCAATTCGGAAAAGAACTACTGAAATAGACTCAAGAATTCAAAATAAATCGAGGTCATGAAAATCTTTCAGTTTTAACTCTGAAGCTGCCTTTCGGAAAAGGATGGAATTTTCATGGATAAACGAAACCACGCGTCTAAAAATTAGTAATTTTTTATCTGTAGATTCCAACACAACAAAGGAGTGTTTACACAAGCAAAGCTAATATAAGGCTCTTAAACTGGTCAATCATCCAGATTTTGTATTGGTTTGTACGTCACTAATGCCGGTATCAATGACTGATTTCAAGAAAAATAAATTGAAAATTCCTTCGTTTATATTTCCTCCATCGTAGATTTTAAGCTTTTTCTTAGAATGGTCTCTCCCAATCTTGATGTAGACGTGGAAAAATACTTCAACTGAAGAGCTCTTTTTTAGCAAATTGTTTTAAATTAAACGGTGTAGTTTGTAGTCTAGACGGGAAACACTGAGGTTTTTTTAGGGCGGAAATACCTATTAAATTATTAACGCTTCATACTCTTTGCGTTTGCACCAAACAAACACCGCCAATATAAAAGCAATATCAACTCTGATATAGCACTCACAGACACATAAAAGGAATCGTCAGGGTCAAAACCATTATTTGAAGTTTTTACGCAAGACTAGACAACTTAGGTAAGCTCAGTCGGAGTTAAGCGGCTTAGATGCCATGGCTGCTAACAAGTTTTAGTAACTACGTCACACTAGGCATGTTATGGGAAATTTAACCACAGATTTTTCAAGATCGACCGTAGAAATCTGCAGCAATCTTTCCATTCCCTATCATTCTTGGCTCATTTTTGTCTATTTTTTCTGATGTATGTTTGTCAACCATTGCAGGTTGATATATGATTCACTTTTTCCCTCAGCTAATAAGGTGCTCTTTAAAAAAAAAAAATGAATAAATTATGATGATAATAACAATCCAAAATACCGTCTCATGGCTTTTAATCTTGCCATTTATAGTTGACTCGCTACTTATCATTAAGTTAATTGTTTCATAGCTAATTTTAAGAGCGGTGCACTTATTCCAAGCTTCCCACTATAGCTGTAGACTCGGAAATAAAGAAAAAAAATGCGAAGTAAGACCTTTTAAAAGTAAAGATATAAGTCACAGAGAAAGGGTGTTTATGAGAATGGAGTTAGGAAGGATTGCTAAAACGAAAACATGAAGGTATTGTAAATTATTCTGCTCTGAAGTAGTAATTAGGAGGCGAGTAGAATAAATTAATGTTTAATCTCCTTGTGATCTCGCAAGAAAGAACCGAGACCTCTGAACTTGAATTAACAAAGTTGTGGTGGGCTGTAAAGGAAATCCGATTTTAAAAGATGTTTAGAGTCCACTCTTTCATGATAATGTGGAAAGTGGAGGGAAAAATAGAGCGAGCTTTGGTGGCCTTTCACAATGTTTCCGCCAGCTGGAATGAAAAATACTTCTGCGCGCCAAAAAAGTTCCTTTTCCTGTGGT